TAGGGAATGAATGAAAAGAGGTCACAATGGAGTTTAGTAGGCAACTGGAATGAAGTTCAACTTCCAAGTCCTTGGAAACTATTGAAAACAGTAGTTGTCCTGTCAGTCACGAGGCTGGTGATAGTACTTGTGGTGGCAGAGGTTTTAGTTCTGTTGTTGCGAAGTCTCATCTCGATAAGCTGTGGGCTGGGTTCCAGTGGCTTAACGCCTTTCCTTCTGCTCTGTCACTGAAGCAGCTGTGTGGTGCTTCATCTCCCAGTTGTTCTGCTGACAGTCCTGTAGTAATTTGCAGTTCTTGGCTGTGTGTGAGTTCATCAGAACACGATACAGCCTTTGTCCTATGGACCAGATGTTGCAGCAAGTCCCTAAGAGAAAGCCGAAAGACCACCTGTATTTGAGCAATTTCTGATTAGCTGTTCTTGATTAGACTCCATGTGTATTCCCTCTTTGGGGTTTTCATGAAGCTTAACACGTAATCTAAATCCCTTTTAAGACTCTTAATTGTGCAGATAGCTTTGCACATACTAGTTTTATCCCGTGATTAGTGAAGAATTTTTCAAAGAACCTTACTCCCCCAGATCCTGTGGTTACCTTCAGTATTGCAGCCGCAAGCAAATCTGTCTTTTTAAATGATTCATTGTATTAAAGAAAAACACATATTCAAATGTAGACATTTTTGTGTCTGTACATACATGTTAGAAACAGCAGGTTTTTAAAAGGGATTTGGTTACAGCTTTTCAAGTGTTGCAGATGTGTTTATTTCCTATTTCTAAGAAACTATCTAAAGCATCAAAGCTCATAGGAGATGAGCATCTCTCCTTTGGAAATACGATTGTGGTTATATATTCCTTGATGAAGGATACAGGAAAATAAGTCACCATTGCTCTTGAAGCACTAGGTGCATCCTATACATAAAATTTTTACTTGCTGCATGATTTTCTGAAATGGTTTGAAAACCTTAATCTACTTTATTTAAAATATATTTTTAATAAATTAAAGTACAACATTTAAGTCAGGAAGTAGTGGTATTTGGCTCCTAAATTTTATGTAAAGTATATACCCCATTATGGCTGAAAAGAAGGATCTTCTTATACTGTCAAAATATGAGCAATTAACCTCCCAGTCTTTAGGAAATAACAGTAATAAAAAAAAAAACAAATGACAAAAATAAGCAAAAAAACTCCTCCTATCACTCAAACCCCAGAATCCACTTAGCAAGGTAATGAAATGTATTCTCCATAAATATTTAAGACCAAACAGTGGACTTAATTCCTACAGTTTTGAAGTGTTTTTTTTCATCCCTTCTCTTTTTCTCCTGTTGTGGAGTCATTAAAATAAGCAAAACTGGATAAACCAAAGCACATGATTTTTAAATTGTTTCTTCTGCATAATATAATATCCTTTTTATTTTTTTTTTTTCCCAGATACTTTCTGTAGAAAAAACAGAATTCTGAAACAGAAGTCCTTACTCTTGATTCCATGGTATCAAGGACTCATCAGGCACCATCTTCAATCTATTTCTTCAATATTTTTTCCTAAGCAGAGGAAGAGCTTTCTTCAGTGCTTGTCCATCTGTCTCAGCTGAACTTGACTTCCTGACTATCTTTCTCATATTACAAATGCCTAAGAATAGCAAAGTAGTGAAGAGAGAACTAGATGATGAGGTCATCGAGTCAGTTAAGGACCTTCTCTCTAATGAAGACTCTTCAGATGATGCCTTTAAGAAGAGTGAACTTATGGTTGATGATCAGGAAGAGAAAGATGTAGATGTTGAAGAAGGCTCAGATGTTGAAGATGAAAGACCTGCTTGGAACAGCAAACTCCAGTATATTCTGGCACAAGTTGGATTTTCTGTGGGATTAGGGAATGTGTGGCGATTCCCATATTTGTGTCAGAAAAATGGTGGAGGTGAGTCTTGTGATACCTAGTCCCAGCTAAATGATGAAGCTGACTTTTCACATTTAAAAGTTGCTGTTTTAAAGTTACTAAGTTTCAAAGTTACAAAGTTTCATTAAAACCTGCTCCAGTATGACAGGTTTTTCTTTTAATTTCTGCTATTCCCTTTATTTAAATAGACACATCTGTCAACGTAATTAGAAGATTCTTCCTAGATTCCATATGCTCATTTTAGGGGAGAAAGTTCTTGGTATGACTTTTGCCAGTGGTCAAACTGGTGGCTAAGCAAAATGCATATTTATGGAGGGGTTGCCTTACTTAGGACCTGGCTGTTGTTGTGCCAAAGTCTTCCTTATAGTACTCAGACAATAAATAAAGACATTAAATCTATACTTTAAAGACCTAAGCAATATTAGATCACTAGTATTTAGTGGTACTAAGCTTTGCACCTTTACTTTTTAGTTGCTTTTAGCTCGTAGGACATTTGATCATGATTTACTTTCTGCAGGAACACAAAATACTGTATGAATCAAAAGGATTTTTTTACCAATAATGAATTATTTAAATAATTAAATTAAGGGAATGCATTTAGGTTTTGCTGTTATATAGTTAACTTTCCTAAATAACAAGTTAACCTTTCACTTAGAACAATAACATCAAGCTGTTTATTTGTTAGCTGTCCATCTATGGTCTTGAATGAAGTATGAAGTATGAGGCTAGAGACCTTCCTTTCTCTGTGAAGGATGTGTTTTTATCCTGTGCTAGACTGTATCTTACAATACTACATTAATGAACAACCCATTGGAGCTAATGGTTTAGTTGAATTCAAAACACACCTACCACTTTTTATTATCTCTATAGTGAATCTGTACTACAGAACAGAAAATGGAGAACCCTGTTTTATTCATGCTGGATTTTAAATGTTGAATGACAAAACTGATGTAATTGAGGAGTATAGAAATGAGTCTAGAATATAATGAGAATATAGTTCTGTACTTTGTTTTCTCTCAGTCAGATCAAGCATTAGAAATGGAGTTTATACTTTCAAATATTCCATCTCCGGGATAAAGTCTAATTTCTTTTATATCTAGTTATTGTAAGATTTTTTTTCCTTCACATTTAAGTTCCTTTTTTCCTCCTTTTTCTGGAGAGGAAGCCATTAAGTGGTTGATTTAATGATTTGTGTGGAATTGGAAATTTTCATCATCTGTAACTGCAATAAGAACTGTGAAAATACACTGAATGTAGTTTCTCAAAAAACAACTTTTCAGTGGATGACAATCTCATCAGGTTTACTAGACACAGGGTAGAAGTGATGACGTCACACTACTAGTGGAAAAAAATAATACATTTGTTAATTAACAATTGTTTAAACATAGTTAAATGTATAGCTATTAAAATGTTTATATTCTATATCATTTCTTCCTAAGTGTGGTGTCAAGATCTAGTCTCAAGGATAATGCATTACAGTGGTTCTTTTTTTATAGTTCTGTCCCTTTTGAAAGTCTATGATTCTTCTTTAAAACAACAGAAGAGATCTGTTGGTATGCTCCTTAAGCTGCTTGTTTCATACTGTCAGGTGCTTTTAAAGTTACTTTGACCGTGAGTGTAAATTTAATTTGGATCAAATATAAATATGTTAATTAATAATTTCACATTTTAGAAACAAACAAACAAACAGACAAACCAAACTCCAAATCTTCAGGGATTATGGCACTTCTTTAATCAAACTTGAAAAAGTAAATATGGAGTCCTTTCAGACTGAAATTGTTTTCCCCTGTCCTGTGATTGCAGGAACTTTGATGTGTAACATAGTCTGTGAAGACAAACTGTTTTCTCCACATGATTGTGACGTGTTTATCTGGCTTTTAATTATAAATTTACACCATTTTGATGAATTGCAGCCTTCAGAACAACAGAGAAAAAGCAAGTGAACATTAGAGCTAAAGCTTTATTTGTTTTCAAGTTGACCATAATGCAAGATGAAGAAGATGATACAAAACGTTGAAACATAAAGTACCTTGGTGCCTGCATGTGTGTGTGCAGAGGGACAGATAATACTCATAAGTACATAAAAGAATAGAGAGAGGGAGGGAGGGAGGGAGAAGTTCAAAGAAATGGGAAAAAAAACTTACACACATTTTCTGTGTGGTTCCAGTTTTCTGCTACATGTTATGACTTCTATGTTTCATTCTAGGTAAAATTGGAGTGGTTTTATTCAACCTATTCTAAATGTCAGTGCCAGTTCTGTAGTCTTTTGCTGAGAAAGCTTTACTATAAATACCTGTTAAAGTCTCTGATTATAAGGTCAACAGCCTTTCTTTGGATTTTCATTAGAACTGTTTCAGTGAAGCGTATGGCCTGATCTCCACCTTCAGTTTTGTCCAACCATTTTCCATTTTCTTGCCTATGCTTAAGGAACTTATGTGTGGCGAATACCAGTGAAGGTATTTACCTGCTGGTGAAGGGAATATTGAAATTTAAACCAGAAAGAAGTAAAATACGTAGTAACTCATTAGTTTCATTCAGAGTTTTCCTCCAACATTGTGTTCCAAAGTCACCATTAAAAGAGAAGGCAAATCCTAACCATGTAGTAATTTTCAATTTTGTGTTTCTTTTAAAATTCTGTGACAAGAAGAACAAACCCAACATAACAAACACAGAAAAGACACCAACAGGTTAGCCTAGATAGATGTACAGTATTAGAGATTTTTGTGGAAAAAAAAAAGGGTGTTTACCTCCCCATTTTCTAGAGAGATTTGGTTTGTTTATGGCTATGGCCTGTGGGATGCCAGCACCCTTAACTGGAGAGCTCTGTACTGCTCCAGTGAGGTACCTGTCTCACCATCTTTAGAGGTAACTTGTGTATCGCTGCTCTGCATGGATGCTTGGACCTCCATGGGTATCCTTCCAGTCTCTGGGTCTGTTCTGTACAAACAAAACAGCTTCCCACACCTTATTTTCTGTGATTCTTTAACAGTTTTTCCTGTTGCTTTAGTCTGTATAAATTCATAAACACTTAGAGCAATATCTGGTATTTTTTTTATGGTCAACTAAGTTACAGTTAGACTGGATAGCTCTTTGCTGGCTTTCACACTTGGCTCTTTCCCAGAAAAAAAGTTTGTCATGAGGGGTGAGAGAAGAGGCTAGTACACACCTGGGATGAACTTTGATCCACTCTGTAGCTGTAATGCAGGAAGTATCAAGAGAAGAGAAAAAAAGAGGCTGAGAGGAATCTGAGAAAATTCCAGGGTGCTCATTTTCTTGACTTTGCATGAGAGAGAGGGCCCAAACCAGTTTTAGGCTCTGTCAGTGAGGTGCTGAAGGTGTTCAGCAGAGTTTTGAGGAATGGATTATGGGAGTTGCCTCCTTTGCCTCTGTCCTCACCAGAGGTCCTCCTTACCCCTGGTATGCAACACCCAGTCCCCATCTGGCAATTAAGGCACTCTTCCGCTCTTTACACCTAACAGATAAAAAAGCTGTTTTTTCCTTTTTTCCAAAGGTGACTTGCATTGAAGCTGGGTATGCTCTAACTTAGCTTTAAAGTTTTTTTTTTTTTTACATTTATCATTTTTACACAATACAGTTTTATTTTTCACTCCTTTACTGTATGAAAACAAACGTGTTTTTGTTCAGATAGGCACAGTTCCTGTATAGCAATTTCATAACCTGTGTTAGCAGGCAGTAGGTGCAGAGCTGCTTCAGCTTCCTGTGACTGATAGCCTTAAAAATAAATGGCTCGGGTGTACCAAGTCTTGCCATGAGGCTAATAACTAGTGACAAACTAGGCCTATATTTTCCTGCTGTTCATTGCTATCATCTAGTGAATAGCTTTTACATCTGTCACTCTTTTCAAACAAAGGAAATATTTAATGTTTGTTCCTGTTGTTTTCCTTTAGGATTAGCAGAAGTAAAAGGGTACTTTCACATATTTGGAAGTAACAAAAGCAAACTGAATTAGCAATTCTGCATTTGAGTGACTTACTATGAAGACAATTGAACATACTTATCTAAGAGATGCTTCTAGTGTTGCAGGTGTTGTTGGGGGGTCTACAAAGTACTGCATACTCCAAGTTTTTTGTGTTGCATTTTCATAAGCATTAACTTATTTTTCCTGATTTTTGTATTTTTAAGGTTAGTCTTTTTAATCTCATATGACAAAGTCAGAAGAACTAGTGAACAGTGATAAACAGATGAAAACTGAGCAGCATAGGGAAATCTGTAGCAGATTATTTTGCCATTATGTTTGGGAAAAATTGACATGGATAGTCAGATAATTTTTTTGCAGTTAAGTAGCCTGGATTTTATACTGAAGTACTAGCAGATTGATCAGGTAAGTTCTATGGTCTTCTAAAATGTGGAGCAATTATTGCTGAGGACTGCTGAGGAAATAATATATAAACTATTAAAGACTGTTAAAAAAACTGTTAAAGTTTTTAAAAGCACCCAGGCAGAATGGGTGCAAAATAAGTTTTCTCTTGGAATCCAACACAGTGGCTTCACTATTTAGCTTTTGATCAGTTATTTATGATTAGTGCCTTGAATTCACTGACAAGTTCGTTATTATTTCGTGAGTGCTGATGTAAACTATTACCATACTTGAAATCTAGTTGTACTTCATTGTGCTGAAAATGTCTTGGTTTTATTTTGCAGGTGTAATTTTTCATTAAAGCTTATTGGCTAAGGGCATTTTTCATCCTTAAAGCAGTTTTGTAAATAGGCACACCTGAACATATTTAAGCTGTGAAAGACTAGTGACAGGAAGACTATCCGATCAGTAGGATAGACTACAAACCTACAGATAAACCATGAAACCTTATGTCAGAGTTTTCTTGATAAAAGCAGTTTGTATTTTGTCGTGGTAAATAGTTTCACATACAGGAGCTTAGTAGACGGTAAATCTATAGTGTTCTGTTGCCCACTTGTCATAACTTAGAAAATTTTAATGTGTGGCATTGACAGTAAGTTGATCTGAATACCAGCTTCTTGCTAGCTTTCTGTTAGTAAGTGTCCAGTAAGCTGTAAGAGCTGGGATGTCTCTTCAAGACAGTGATAAAGCTTACCTTCACTGAGTAAAAATTAAACTGGACAGTAGACACCTAATTAAGAAGTAGCTCAGCAGGAGCTGAAGCAAATTTGGAAAGTTATTGCATTTTCTAATGTTACATCAAGAACAACTAGAAGAAAAATTCTTCTGTAATATCAAGATGGTAATGGTTATATCATCTTGCATTATTGTTTCTGAAGTGATTTTCCAGCTCCTTAATCATTATGACTATGAATCATGTAATTTTATGTTTTTTTTTCCCCCCTGAGCCCCCCTGAGCATCTATAAGAACTTAAATAAAATCCAATGTTAATATTGCACTTCTATCAATGTTGCCAAATGTAGCAGCTATTGTAATATCAAGAGAGACAATTTACCAGTTATCCTATTACAATGCTTTTGTTAAAATAAAAAAATGTAGAAATCAAATCAGTGCTGTACACAGTATTAACATTCACCAGTTCCTGAACTCTTTTGTGTCTTTGTTGTTCATTCTAGTGAGGAAGGATGAGTTTTTTTTTTCCAGATATTTCTATACTTATGAAGTTGAGATTAATTTTTTTAGTGTGCAAGTTTTTAAGGCCAAAGTATGCCAAAAAGAGACTTTACAGCAGAACGATTTTGAAAATGTAGAAAGGAGTCAGAATTGTGCAGTTCAGAATGTTGCTTAGCTGGTCAATGTAGCAAACAATGTAACTATTTGTAGGGGGCTATTCAAGGCCAGCATGTATAATTTATTGTTCTGATTCAAATAAAAATGACTGTTATCCGGTATTGTAACTCCAAAAACCCAAGTTTTCATGCACTGGCAAATAAGAGACATGCTGAGCTGTTTCCATATTGATTCTGTTTTATGATCAAGTGAAGATGTCTTAGAGGAGATGCTGTGGTTTCATGTTGACTGTGGAGCACAGAAGCCCATTGCAACGTGATATACAGCTGCATAATCCAGCTACATCCAAACTTTATTGCACTGAAACTCATATGTGCACTACTTTCCATTACGTCCTGCTTTTGGGGAGGAGCACAAGATCCAAAGGGAACTCATCAGGTTTGAATGATCAGAAGGCCAGCACTTCAGGTGCTCTGCACAAGCCCTTCAGTGTAGAGATGAACTTTGCTGGCTACTCACACTGAATTACAGGGTTGTGTTATGTATAGTGTAACGTGGGGGTTTCACACCACATTTATTTAACTCATTTAGTTGAATCTAACTGATAAATCTTAAAACTTACAATGATACTGCACCGTAAAACACCCACATCAGCCCAGTCTTTAAACATGTGCTTAACTTTGCAGCCTTGTGGTTAAGGTTGTGGACTGGGACACTGAAGAGCTGGGATCAGTTCCTGCTCTAGTGCAGTCATCCAGTGGGATACAGGGTAAGTCACTTAGGCCCAAATTTTTTGAGTTTTTTAGGCTTGTCTCTGCACAGCTCTGCAACACCTGTCTAATTAAGACCACAGGTATCATTTGCAATAGTAATTAAAAATCAATCTGATTTAAAAAACTATGTATTGTTTGCTTTAAATTAATTTTATGGCAAATTTTTTAAAGATAGTGATGTCAAAGCTTCTCATTTGCAATGTGAATTAACATTATACTTAAGTCTCACAGAAATTTTGAGAGAATGTTGATATTAAATCAAGGGTATTTAATGATATTATTTGTTATATATCTTCTTAAGGCAAACAGTCCCCCTCATCTTGGAATGTGGTTATTATTCTATTCCGCAGTTTTTGTCAGATTTATTTCCTTCTGTGTCATCTCTCTTTTCATGGTAGAAAGTAAATCCTTTGCATTCCTTCCTTTTTATGCATGCATGAGATGAACCATGAGAGACACCAGAGTACAGAGTGGGGTTGTAGCTGCTACCTCAGTAGAAATAATACCAAAGTAGGCAGTCAGTAGTGTGCTGAAATGGGTAGATAAACTATGATGTTTAGCTCTTTGAAGGAAGTATTTTAACCTCAAAACAGGTGTTACTGTTCAGAGCCTGGCATTGATTTTGACCAAATGCTGCTCAAACAATATAATTGCATGTCATATTATCATGTTCTGAAAATAAAACCCAAAGAGGTATCTCACTGCTAACAGCAGCCTATAGACTGTGGGGTAAATAAGATCATATTATTCGTCTGGTCCACAAATAGTTTTTCTCAGATTTTATTTCCTGTCTTTTTTCCTACTATTCTTAGACTCAAGACAGTTGCTCCATGCTTAGGTTCTTTCTAAGATCTCTATAATGGAAGATGATGTCCTGTTTGTGTGTATTTCATGAAGAGAGAAATAGCAAGTGGACCTAAAAAGGAGTGAATGTTACCAGAAAGTCTGAGGCCTCCTACACATCTTAGGAAAGTTTAACCTTATTTTAGAAAAGTTAATAATAAACTGTATTCCCTGAGAAGCTGCATACTAAGGACATGCAAATGGCAGTTAGTATTTTGATAGACTCCTAAAAAAAGTCCTAGAAAGTTGATGCTGGATGAAGAAACTTAAAGTAGACTTTAAAATAGACTGATTATACAACTTAATAGCTCTGAGTCTGAACTTCTGAGGTCTTTAGATCTTTGCTTTGTATCTTGCTCCGATATGCTGCAGTCTGCATCTCTCAAGGGCTTTTCTTTAGCTTTACAACGGCTACAATCAAAAGTCCTAAGCCCTTTGGGTTATTTGGCCAGCACAGCATTCTATCTGCAGCATAAGAGCCACACATTTGAAAACTAGGTGCCACGTTGCTAATTTCTGATGCCAGAATGTTTTGTTAGCTCTAGTAATAAATACACCACCTCATCGAGGAGGAAATTGGACTCTGAACTTGACGATGCACTTAGTGTATGGATGTATTTGCTTGCATTTAGCTTTACTTAAATAAATGGAGATATATCCTTAAGTTAGAAATGTGTATGACCACTTCCTGGGAATAAGACCTTGAAAAAAGGAATTGATTTCTATATATATATCTATAAAATCTGTATAACAGTTGCATTTTCAAATATGTCTCTAAGGAGAGTGTGTGTGTGTACTGCAAGATCTGGATCTACAATACCCCATGTCGTTTCCACCTTTTGTCTCTCGTCTTTGTCTGGAGCCTGGGTAGAAATGGGCTGATACTGTTTCCTGGATTAACTGTGTAGGATCATTATTCTGTACTTTGTGAAATCCACTTTCTGAGCATCTGACATGCACGTGGAGAAATCAACAGACATCTTCAGAAACTTCTGAAGATGGGATGAAATTCAGAATGTTTTATGGACAGTCTTTTCTGTCAAGATGTAGAGTTTTTAAAGAAATGTTGATTCAGCTCCTGGTTGCCTCACTATATTTCTAAAAAGTTTGTTCTAATGTCCGAATTTTCACACAAGTGAACAACTATACATAACAACTTTCTTTCAGTAAGGTTTGCTGCCAGATCTTACAATGCTTTAGAAATTCAGTGTCTCTTGGTTTTTCATATCTTATAAGATCTATAGAAAAGATTCAGATAAAATTACTCTTTGAATGTCATCAAGAAAGATTTGCACTGAATGGCAGTAATTCAAACTGTCAAATGAAGCTGTTGGAAGGCTACTCTTTTGTTGTGTCAAGTTCTGACTCTTTTTCCACTCACTCTGATTTATACTTTGTTCCTTTCATAGGTGCCTATCTTGTGCCATACTTAATCTTGCTACTGATAGTAGGGATTCCACTCTTTTTCTTGGAGCTTGCTGTGGGGCAGAGGATCCGCCGAGGGAGTATTGGTGTGTGGAATTACATCAGCCCCAAACTTGGAGGAATTGGATTTGCAAGCTGTGTAGTAAGTGTCTTAACATTAATTGTGTCGTTTGCTTTCACTCTGTATCATTTAGACTTTCTATTTCGCTGCAGGGAAAGGCCACTGATTTGTAGCTGGGTGTCAAGGTCAGTTTACAAAGTTTTGGAAGATCTTAAAACTTAGATTAGTATATTAAAAGTGTTGATATAGATGCATCTGTAAAACCAGTCAGCTTGCATTTTGTGATTCTTTTGGAATTAGGAACTATGGAACAGAGTAGTCTTCTGGAGAAAAATAGTGCTGTAGAAGTAGACATATTACATGATAAGTACAAAGAAAAGTGAAAGTTTAGAAAATTTCATGTACTTTAACAGGACAAACCATTCAGTTCTTATTTTGACTTAATGAAAATTAGGTTCAGTGGCTGGTGTGCAAAAGTATACAGAAATTCAATAGGGACTTTTAAAAAAAATGTAAAAATGTCATTAAATGCAATTTTTTTATCTGTTTTTTTTTTTTTTTTTTTTTTTTTTTTTTGTTGTTGTTCATTTTTATAGGTATGTTTCTTTGTGGCCCTGTACTACAATGTCATTATTGGATGGAGTCTGTTTTACTTTTCCCAGTCTTTTCAGCATCCATTACCGTGGGACCAGTGTCCTTTAGTTAAAAATATATCTCGTACTTGTAAGTCTATATTCTTAAAAGTCACAAAAAATATAGTTCTTAAAAATCATATAAAATACATAGACTTTGAGATTTTAAAACAAAGGGAAAAAACCCTCACAATTCAAAGAGATATCTGTGGGGAAAAGTGGTATATGCAAAGCTGGTTTCCACTTGAATAAAATGTCACATTATAATACTTGGAAAAAGTACAGCAAAGAAACCTAGTCTAAGATAAGTATACTGTATTTGGAAAGGAATGTCGCTATCAACAGCATTTTAAAGAGTAATGAAATTAGTAGAGTGCTATTTAGTGTGTTGCATAAAAAAAAAATATGAATACTTTTTTTCTGATGTTGATACTGCTCTTTACACTTAGTAAAAAAACAAAGGTCAGGGAAGAATGTTTCTACATGTCAATTAGAAGGATACTTCCTGGTGAAAAGCAAGAAGTGCTGCATTACTAACAAAGCAGAAAATGGAAAACTGTAAATGTCAATGAAATGCATGTGTTAAAAGCATTGTTTGCTGTGTACACCAATAGAAATGAGATAATAGGTAATTGGTTTATTCCTATAATGAGATGGTTTCATGTGGACATGCACAACAGCATTAGAAGTTCCTTATCTTTTAGTTGTTTCGTAGTTACACACTTTGCATTATCCTTGCTATAGAAATGTGAAATATTTCTTTTAATTTCTTTTTATTTCATATCCTAAATTTTCTTTACTTACCTTTTGAGGATTTTTTTACCCCTTTAACAAAGAAACATGACTAGGGACACTTGAAAAGCTGTATGATGTTTTTATAGCATCTTTTCCAGAGTTGCTTGCTTCAGTTGTTTGAAATAATCAGCATCTGTTAATGTTGCACACAGTCAGATTGACTGTATTCCACAAGCTATTGTCCATTAGTAGAGCCACAGTGGTTATGTATGTACTCTTATTCTGATTATTAAGATACAGTGTGTCAGCTTAACTTCAGCAGAGGTCATCTGAACTATACTTAAACAAATAAAAGTATTGTATTTGATAACATACTATCATTTTGGAAAGTTTATTTCAGTGAGATCCGACACCTCTGTTAGGTTTCTTAAAATGAGTATATTTTTCCTTCGTTTTCTTTAATTACTTGGACTCAGGTTGTATCTCAGAGATATGAATGCCAGATATGAATAATTTATTAAAAACTTAGAGTAAATATTTTATTTCTATTTATATGTGCTCTGTGTCTAGATTCACACAATTCCTTAAACTGGTAACATGAGTAAAACAGAATTACAGTATAATAAAAAAATCACTTCTGGAATACATATAGCAACTTTCATTTAACATAGCTGTGTGGGAGCTATTTTTTCCTTTTCTCATCACTTTGGTATCATGCTACTATTTTATAATTTATAATAGTATTTAAGTGCTTACTGATTTGAGTGTCATATCAAAGCAGGCACAACCGAGAATTTTTTTTCCATATATTTTCAAAATTGTGTTCAATTTGAGAGAGATACTTTTCATAGTATGTAAGTCACAGAATCAGATGTGGGTAAGTCAGTCTTAGATGAATGGAATGGATGTCTTCATGTAGGCCTGCCTACTAATTAGTACTTCAGTGAAAAGAAATTTTGCCCAGGATGGGGATTGACCATATGCAGAGGAATACATTGTCTCAAAAGGGTGTTTTAAAAAGATATACTCGGACCCTTTCACTGATAGCAGTCACTTTTTCTTCTAGACAATGTTCTAATTCATTCTTTGTGAATTTAGTTTCTCAGTAAAAGATGACAGTACAATCATAAATATTGAGAACTGGTAGAACATTGTTATGAAGTGTTTGGAAAATACATATGTCGTGAACCTGTTCTTTACTTGCTAACATCTCTCGACAGTCGTGGAGCCAGAGTGTGAAAAAAGTTCTGCAACCACTTACTACTGGTACAGAGAAGCACTGAATATTTCCAACTCTCTCTCAGAGAGTGGGGGTTTAAACTGGAAGATGACTGTCTGCTTGCTGGCTGCCTGGGTCATGGTATGCCTAGCCATGATCAAAGGCATTCAGTCTTCAGGCAAAGTGAGTATACTGTTTGCCTAAATGACAGTGTTTTACTAGGAAACACTTTGTGACATTTTTGTTCACCACACCCTTTGTTTACTCTCTCATGAGTTAGTGAGAAGCAGGTTAGAAGCTGTGACTCACCCCAGTATTTGTATAATCTCAGGTAGAGAAGTGTTAGTAGATAAGCATCAAAATTGTAGTAATTTAGTAAGAATTGTAGTACTTTAGCAGGAATTGAGATCTGAAGAGAATAATTTCTGTTCTCATCAAAATAGCTTTTGCAAATAACTGTACATCAGCTTTATTGTGAAGCATATGGATTTAGGTTTCCATACATACATTACTCACAGTGTGATTGCAGTGCACTCAGGTCCTTAAGGTGCCTTGCCATTTTTCTTCTTGCTGTTACTGTCACTGGGATGGATCCATGCTTCTAAAGTGAAGCATTTCTAAAACAGCCTACTTTTGTCTTGCTCGTCATCTCATTGAATTCGCAACGGATTTCCTTTGAAGCCCCGCAGTTTTTTATCAGTCAAGACAAAGACAACTGTATAGTTTTGATACTGTACAGAATTTATTTTATAGTCACGTGATCTTCCTTTCTTCTGCTGAGAGCAGGGGAATGGGAAGAGTTCTGCCTATTTTTAGAGCATATGATGATCAATTCAGTCATATATGTAAAAGATACTGAGTAGTGAATGAAGCTATTGGAAATAACTTACATGGATGTCATGTTAAATTTCTTCTTAATGTTTTCCAGATCATGTATTTTAGTTCCCTTTTTCCTTATGTGGTACTTTTATGCTTTCTGATCAGAGGACTGCTCCTTAATGGGTCATTGGATGGAATTCGTCACATGTTCACACCTAAGGTATGTGCTTGATTTATGTTTGCAACATATTAAAGTTTCAGTGGCAATTTGACCATTTATGAATGCCCTCATTAAAGCATTTGGCCATATTTCTGTTTGGTTGAATTGCAGAATGGTTTTTGACCTCAGTGGCACAATCTCAAGCCCTAAGGTCTAAAGGCTCTAAGTGTTCCAAGGGTCTGTGTAGTTATCTCCCGTAGGTGCAGGGTTCCTAGAGTTAGGTGCCTTCACAAAGGTAAGCATCTGCAAGTGCTGTTTAAGGGATTCAGGATATTTAGAAAGCTCCAAATACTGAAAAGAGAAGTGAATCCTAAACCTTGCCATTCTCTGGTATTGAAATGCCTAGTTCTGTGATGTCACAGTGAAGTACAATACCTTGAATACTGCCATGGCTTTACATAATTAACTTGTCCTGTTGAAAGAGGACAAATTTATTCTTTTTCAGAAATAAATTAATGCTGTTTGCATAGTAGACCAAAGTACAGGAGACCTGTCTTTAATACTGAAGTAGTGTGTTAAATGCTCACCACTCAGCTTTCCTTACCATGTGTTTATGGTTGTCATGACAAATAGCGGCAAGTCTAAACATATTTTTTTACTGTCAGCATTTTTTACAGGAATATGTCTTACAGAACTTTAGATTTTATAACTGTGGAGATGAGAAGGGATGTTATGAATCATTGTTTAGCTTGATCTAAATTTTACCTACACCAGTCTCAAATGCTTGCAACTGTATCTGTACTACAGGAACAACATGTTTGGGTAGTCAGAGCCATAATCAGGTTATGAAATGGATTTTCAAACAAGTCCATTTCATAAGAGTTGAGGAGAAGAGGACTGATATTTCAAAAATAAAAGCCAAAATATAAGATGATTAAAAGCAATGCACATAGTAGCTAATGCCAGGTGACAGGATCTTGTCAGTTGTTTTGATTCCAGGTGTTTTGAGTATGTGGAGAACTGTCATCCTATAAAGATGACCTTTGTTAGCTGTCACATTGTTATTTCTTGCATTGTGGTACACAGCTGTGCTCTGCTTCACTCACTGTCACCTCTTTAGAGAGTTGTGGTTCCGCAGGAACTTGCAGGCTGCTCAGGCAAATTTGAGACATCTGAGGAACAGAGGCACGTAATGCTTACTGCTGAAACGGAACTCTGTAGCAGAGATGGAGTACAGGCCTCTTGGAGTTAGAAGTTAATTTCTCAACCACAGTGGTAATACTTTCTTTATCTAGAGAAGTACCACTAGATACGGAGGGAAAGTAAACACTCAAATTCCCCTTGACTACCAGTACCTCTTCACTACTTCATCTTTTGTGAGTTAGACCTAAAATAAGTTACAGCTGATGCTTACTTTACAGTTCTGTTATAATTTAATTATACAATTGTTTCAAATGTTCAGATAAACTTATCTTGAAAAAAATATTATTCTTAATTTCTACTGGTTTCCAGTTACATATCTCAAAATTTCAGTTGTTTAAAAATTGAGGTTAGGAGGCCTGTATGTCACATACAGTATATGTGAATAGAAACCTTCAGAAGTTTTTTTCATTATAATCCTGGATTGTTTCTGTACTTGAACACTAATTTGGACTGTGGCTTCATAAGAGACTATCTGAAGGAATTCAGTTTCCCCCACCTGTTGTTTTTTTCTATTTGTTAAATTGTGCTAAGAGTTCATTTGGGCAGGCAGACAGTAACTAATCTGGGTTGAAAATTATCCAGGTAGATAGATATGAGAGGAGAGGGTGGAACATCTTTGAAGCCTCAATTAGTTCAGCCAACAACCACATTTGGACCACAGATGGTTGTAATACATTCCCACAGAAGAGTTGTGTCAGAGCCGCAGAGAACTAGCACAGCTTGGTGCAGGTGTGAGAGCACAGGGCCAATGGAGAAGGGGGGAATTTCTCTCTTTGGCATGGTTGGTGAACAAAGCAGAAATTCTAAATAACCTTAATGAAAAGCCTAAAGAAAGTTACATGAAATGCCCACTGAAGTCAACTACTGCAATGTAACTAAATACAAAGTTTAAAATACAGAGCCCCCCAGATTCACAGAAAATATCTTGATAGAAAATACTTGATAGCAAATCAGTTATTTGAAATGCTAGGCAGTGTGTGTCTGAGAATGTACTGCCTTTGGTGATACCAAATGATATATTGTAGAAAGCGAGAAGTGTTTAAATACTTCAACTGTTTACAGATCTGGTAAAATTAAGAATATTCCTTGAGCTCCTTCTAGTGGAAAAACGTTAGCATGGCTACATGATACAGGCAGATTGAATTACATGCAATAGCTACTTGTGCATTGTAACAATAACAAAAATTGTAAGTTAAGAACAAGTTTATTGTTGTAAGCACTTTTTTTTTTTTAAGAATACATTTATTTTAGCTAAATATAAATTAATGAAGAAAGTATCTGTTTCCTATGTATAATAAACATTAGACCTTTATGGGAAACTTGAAATTTTTTCAAAATTTTATCATAACAAGGGCATATTTTTTTTTGCCCAGAATAAGACAGTCAATGTAATTATACTGACATCTATGCTGATGTTCTTTAGTTTTACTGGTTTTGATAAGCTTAGGGTTTAGAAAAAATACAAAACCAAACAAAAATCATATGTACAGATGTAAGGTCTTTCACTGTTAAATGAATGGAGGCCCTGAATCAACTTGAGAAAAATCTAATGTTTAAATTTCACATGTACTTCTTTTTTATGCTTCAGTAGCTAGAAGAATCTGAGAGGGACAGATAGTGACTAATAACTTTGTAACAAAGATATTTCTGGAAGTATGGTCAGCTGAATGAGCAATAATACAGTTCAGTTTTTTTGATAAAAGGCTTTGCTGTCCCTTAAATACATGAGCCATTTAACTTAGAGTAAGTCCAAGGCATATGGCTTAAGGGGCATTTGACTTGTAGACTATACAGATTTTGGTGGCCAGTGTTTGTTTCATATGTGGCATTTTGCTTTACATGTTTGCCTGTAATAGAATTCCATATAAGCATGTCTATCTGGTTCACTTTTTTAAAAAGTAACAACAAAGCAATTTTCATCATTCTTACTGCCTTTATCATCCTAAAATATGTCTTAATTCTGACAACTGTCAATACATATACAGTAAAAAAACAGACAGTAAACACTGTATTAAACTAAAGGAAAAAGGATGAAAAAGATAGTTGTTCTGTCTTATTTCTGAGCATAACTAGCTGTTATTTCAATTATCGTATAGCTCCATTAGCATGTCATTGTTTATAGTACACTGTAGAACATAATTCTCTCTAAGGTTTATAACATAAAATAAATAGAAACTCTGTCCCATAAGTTCACACAACTTTAGGTGTCACATTCAGCGTTCATTTTATCAGAATGAAATTCATTTGTAGTGGAATATTAATGTTTTATGATGTAGGTTGTTTTCCTGTGTTTTCTTTTTCTGTTGTCTTTTCATATAATAGAAATGCATTTTATAGCTGACATATATTATATCTAATTTCAAACAGCTTGAAATAATGCTGGAGCCCAAGGTCTGGAGAGAAGCTGCTACTCAGGTGTTCTTTGCCTTAGGGCTTGGATTTGGTGGAGTCATTGCCTTTTCAAGCTACAACAAGAGAGACAACAACTGCCATTTTGATGCTGTACTGGTGTCCTTCATCAATTTTTTCACTTCTGTGCTGGCAACTTTGGTGGTGTTTGCAGTTCTGGGCTTCAAAGCTAATATCATAAATGAAAAATGTGTTATCCAGTATGAATATCCTTCTTTTTTAAAATTATTTTCATGATATATTTCATTTGTGAATTAACCTGTCATTGAGTTTGATTTCTCTGTTTTGTTGTGTTTTACAGAAATTCAGAGAAGATTTTAAAACTTCTGAAAATAGGCAATCTGAGCCATGATATGATCCCACATCATATCAATTTCTCAAGCATTACAGCAGAAGATTACAATTTAGTTTATGACATTATTCAGAAAGTTAAAGAAGAAGAGTTTGATTCTCTTGGTCTGAAATCTTGTCAAATTGAAGATGAACTTAATAAGGTGAGAGTAGTAAGTAAGTCTTAAAGTTGTAGTTTTCAGAAAAGTTGAGCATGAGGATTTTTCCAAAGACTGAACAGAGGTGTACCTATTCAACATGTCAAGTTGTAGTATCTACTAATGTTAAGGTACAATTATTAAATATAAATACTACTTCACTAGCAAGTAAAAAAGTTATGCTTTACTGATTAGATAATTGTTTAATGAATGTCATCCTGGTCTGAAATCTTTACAGTAAGCCAGGTCTGTAAAAGTAAAGATCTTTTTCTAGCTTTTTCAGAGGGACTTCCAGTTTTAAACACTGACTTATATATAGCTGCATGAGCATCTGAAACTAAAATGTCAAATAGGTGCTCTGTTCTACCTCAAATCAGGACACTTTTAACATTGGAAGTTTCTATAATATTCCTGCCATTTAAATTTGAAACAAATAGGCATAAAAGTTAAGTCCTTTATATACTAACTGGAGAAAACAATGTATTTTGTAGCAGTCCTGTATAATACCTCTCATGCAAAATTATCATGACAGAGACAAAGAAATTCCTATTGGACACAAAAGGAAAATGTTTCACAATGAAAACAATCAGCCATTGGAATAATCTACCCAGGGAAGTGTTGGATTCTCCAACATTGGACGCTTATAAGATTTAGCTGGACAGGATCTTGGGCCATCTTGTCTAGACTTCTTTTCCCAGGACAAGTTGGACCAGATGATCCTTGAGGTCCATTCCAACCTGGTATTCTATGATTCTGTCAAAGAAATGTGTTGTTAATATCAATCAACTTACAGTTTCTCAGCCAAATCCGGTGTTTTGGTAAGTAGTACGAATTAAGTTTGCAGGTTTGGAAGAATTGCATATTATGTAGCAGCTTTCCAGTCTAACTTCAAGATTTAATCAATGGCATTGCATGAACACTTAGTCAGACTGCTCATACTACCAAAAAGATACTGTCCATGAATAATAATGTGCATTTTTTCTCATTGACAGGCAGTTCAAGGAACAGGTTTAGCTTTCATTGCCTTTACAGAAGCAATGACCCACTTTCCTGCTTCTCCCTTCTGGTCGGTCATGTTCTTCCTCATGTTGGTAAATTTGGGACTTGGAAGTATGTTTGGAACCATTGAAGGCATTATCACACCCATTGTTGATACCTTCAAAGTCAGGAAAGAAATTCTTACTGGTGGGTTGCATAAATTTTCTTTTCTCACTGGAGCAGTAACCTAAACCTTTTTTTTTTTTTGAAAGTATCAATTCTTTTTTTTTGACATGAAAGTTTTCAGAGTTGACATTATGCAGAGGAGTAAATCACTGTATTTGAGACTGCACTTCCATGTGTATTAATACCTGCAAGTAAAACCTTTACCTGAAAGTTAGAAGAGCAGGAACATACTGGAACTTAAATTTTAATGGAGGATTTCTGTCACAAGCTTATATATGGTCAGTCCTTCTGAGCTCTTTCAGAATACATTCCAGTTCTGTCTGTGTCACACATCAGAGAAATAAAGGCAAAGGAAAGAATGAAAATACATTGCAGATTACCACAAATTATTCCTAGAGTAGGCCAAATGAAATCTTAATTTCAGATGAAATGTTTATTATGTTAAAAATCGATGCAGTTACACACTGTAGAGAAACAAAATTTTCCTTCTTGAATGTGGAAAGTGCCTTAAACCAGATGTCTAGTTGTATGGGTTATATTTTCGTTTAAATACCTGAAGTTATTTGAGGTACAGCCTGTTCATGTAGCTCTGATGTTCTTGTAGCAACTTCTCTTTTTGAGATAGAACAACAACATGAAATGTGAAGGTTAGTTTTCTGAAAATCTTCCAGCTACAAGGGACTTGATGTGTTATTCACAAATTCAGATTTTGTATCCCTGTGACAGGAGGGATAGAAATTAAAAAAATATAATAAGCTGCTTTAATATTATCTAATTACATGTGGAAATAATAGTATATTTTATAAGAGTTAACCCCTGATGCAGCAGAGCACTGGTCTTTTTTGTCTGATTTCCTTACCTTACTTAAGCAGTAAGTAATAATGAAATGCCTTTTATTTTAACCTTTTATTTTAACATATTTTGCTTTGCTAGATCGAAGAACAAAATTATTCATGAAGATAAGTCAACTGTTTTTTCAGAAGTCCTATCCTATTGAGCACTTGTTCTGTTTTGGTGTTGGTGTGTGTTGGGCTTTTTTTTTTGTTTGTTTGTTTTGTTTTGTTTTGTTTTGTTTTTGTTTTTTTTTGTTTTCTTCTTAAATCATCTCTGAAATTCTTACAGAATAACCAGTGTGACATTTAGAAATTAACTGTTCTTCCTAAAGGTCCGTGCAAATACTGTGATATATAGTCTCTATATCACTATATATAGTGATAATATATATATAGATATATATTACTCTGGAGTAATGGAGTATTACACAGTAATTCCTTGGGTTTGTGTTTGACAAAAAAAACATTAAGATAAAGGAATATTCAAGAACTGCCTTTATCTTGTAATTTTTTTTTTTAGTGATATTGCATGTATGATTTTTACCAAACTCAGCTGTACCCAGCAAATTATAACTTGATGTTGTGTTTTTATAATTAGCTTTAAAAACTGAAATGCCAAGGTTATACTTCATACACTGTTGGAGGGATTTAACAAGGATTATGCCTGTGCTAGAGTTTGTGCTTAAACACCACGAATCTTTGCAACTTTTTTCACTAAAGTTCCAGTTCAGTCCCTCTTGAGTTCAGGGAAACCAACTCATAATCTTAAAGTTAGTTTGAATTCAGGTATTTCCAAATCGAAGCCTGCATGTTTATGTGCCGAGTTACGATGAGTATACCTACAAAAGCCTTAGTTTACAACTAAAGATGCATATTTTTGGAGTGTAATGGTAAGACAATGGGAGAAGGTAAGAACAGCAAGGATTTCTAAATTCACATACACACAGTTCTGGTGGTCTGCTTCTTTTCTCATGGTCAGTGTCACAATCCGGTACCGAAGGGG